CTTCTAAACATATTATAATAAATATATTGCTCCACAAGTTTAAAAAGTCAATCAACATTTTATGTTGCACTGTAGCACTACCATTGAATTGGCGTAACAATAATCCTGTGTTTTAGGCCTTTTTCTGGTGTGTCTAAAAGTGCAGCCTCATGTTTATAATGCAGCTACATTAAGCATAGGCACACCCACTGCAGGCCCAGCAGTATTGGAGCCATTGTTTCCAACTTAGCAACTTTGTAGCTATATTTAGCAACTTTTCAGACCCCTTTATTGACTAAGCATACTTTTTACATCTTGGAGATATTGGTGACAACACAAAATAGCACAGATTGCTCTTAGTTTACTGTCTTTAGCAATGCCTCAGACGCAGCAACAGCCCATGTCTGCAGTAGAAGAGCAAAGCGACTCCCTTCCGTTTCCCCATTAAACATCAGCATGAGATGAGCAAAGCTTCCATCATCCCCCCAAAGTAAAAATCAGGATGTTCTTTTGATACTGAAACAGTGAAATAGATGCCTTCCTGCATTTACAGCAGCAGCCATTCAAAATGGTCCTTCCCAGTCAAACGCCAGCCGAATGGCATCCCACTTCCCTGTAACTACCAGTGAGATCCTCTCCAACTTCCAGCCACTGAAGTGACCCCATCTTGCATATTTTTTTACTCTGGCTTCAACCTTTTACTGAATTAACAGGTTCTGATCATGAGATGAGACTTCTCTTTAGATCTTAATTTTAATACAAAGATCGATGTTTAAAAAGGAATTGTAGGGAACCAGCCAAGGACCCATCAAGGAAAGTGGGGAAATTTTGAATAGCTACTACTGTAATTCTCGTACAAACAGACAGGGCATTGGGGGTATGCTTCTACGCATAGGCGCGTTTCAGCAGCCCTGGCAGACAGGCCCCTAGCTTCTCAGCACAGAGAAAACTGGTATTTTTGTATTAATTTTGAGACCTAATTTGATATTCTTAGTTGTGTATTTAATTACCGTATTCAAATTCAGATGGGTGATTAATAAAACATATCTCCCGTGTGACAAACTGAGAACACATATTTATTTATGTTAAATATGGTCTTTAAAAGTAACCAGATTTTAAAAAATTAAATTAAAAACATAAAAATTGATAATTACAATGCTGAAATGGACTTGTCAGTTGTGGTTTCTGTTCCAGCACATATCATTATTTATCGATCATAAATTTCTAATGCGTTATGTCTTTGTTAAAGGGGTCCCAATTGGGCCTGGGCCCTTTGGCCCCTGCCTAGAACCGCCCATTGGAAAGAGTGCCAAATATTAACAACAAATGTAGGTATTTCACATCAATGCAGCACACTGCTCCTCAAGGGGATGGGTTAATGCAGAGGTACATTTCTGCAATGTGAGATCAATAAAATTGATTAATACTATTATTAACAAGACAGTAAAAACAAAACAGTGTAAAAAAAAAAAAGGTCACTCCTTATTTTGGCATTTAGAAAATATGATTAATTTTGGTAACCCTAATAGACCTTAAGACAGGAAATGTTTATTCAGATTTCATATCTATCAGTGACAAAAAAAAGCGTATGTCTTTTTATATACTGCATGTAAACTTCTAGTTTTACCTCTGCATACTGTTTCATATTTCATTTAGCCTAGAGCCTAAATAATTAATAGTTCAGAGCAGAGCTTAGGGCCCCTCACCAGCAGGAGGCCCCAAGAGCAGCAGGGTTTACAGATGGTCAAGAATCACATCAGCATTAGTCATGCAGATCTATATTTATTTCTTTTTCTTTACCATTAATATCTAGTGAACTCTACTTTTTAAACCTCAAGAAAACATTCCAATGCTATTAGATGAAACATAGTCATTTAATCTATTTACTTATTCAGAAAATTGTGAACACCTGTGATTTTATTTTTTTCCATCAAAGTAAGAGTTTCTCCAAGAAATTTAATGCAGCTACAGATCTGTCCATTATTTTTGTATGTATGGGAAACATATAGAAACTAGAGAAATAAAAATGTAAATTTGACATGCATTGCACAAAACTAAAAAAAAAAAGATCCTTTAAGATTCTGCTCTCTCTCAACTTAATATTAGGTTCCACAACCTTTGGAAAAAAGAAATGAGAGCAATCACTTTCTATAACCACCAATAAGCTTTTTGCACATCTTCGCTGGAGTTTTGGACCATTCTTCTTCTGTAAAGTATTCCAGATGTGTTATGTTATGTAATATCTCCACAGATATCTAAATGGATGTGGATACAGTCAGATTACTGGCCATACCAGAACTCAGTGCCCTTTCCATCAATTTGTTGTTGATTTCTGAGTTATGTTCAGGGTCATTATCCTGCTGGACAGTGGCACCCAGTGCCTGAGGCAATAAACTACCCCCAAAACATCTTTGAACCGTCACCATATTTGACTGTATGCTTCTTTTCTTTGTATATCTAATCCATTTTTTGGGTAGAAGGACATGCTTTACCAAAAATAAATATCTTGCCTTCATCTGTCAACAAGACTTTCTCCAGAATTTAGTTTATACACATACATTTTGACAAATTAATTGAAAGATCATTCACACTGAAAATGTGCAGTGAGCCTGCAGGACAGTTTGAATTTTTCTTAGAAGTTGTTTGATGCTAAATATCAACCAATCAGACTATCCTGGGTTGCAACCTTTCATCAATTATGCATCCAGCTATGCTATTTTTGAGCCATGGGTTGTAACTTTCTTATCTATGTTGCACACTGTTGACAATAGGACACTGAGATTTCTAAAAATAGACTTGTGACCTTTAAGCTGTAAATGTTTCACCACAATCTGGTGTAAGTCCTCTCTTCTCCTTCAAAAAGACACAACCATACATTCCAAAGACTGAGCCGATCTTTCTCCTTCTTATCTGATAACGGGCGTGATTTTGACATTGCCCACACCTGTGATCACTTTTGGGATTAGGCGACAAAAATGTGCTTGAAACAAAGTTAGTTCTCCAGAATGTTGAAAGGATGTGTTTTGTAGGGTCCAATGTTTTGAGTTTTGTATGAAGTTATTTAAAATGTGCAATTTTTGCCTGCTTTTTTATTATGTAAGCAAAGGGAATAAAGAGGTATGTGCCAAAATATGGGAAATTGCAATAACTCTCATGGAAAAAAAAACAATTAAATAGAACAAATCCAGAGGTGCCAACATTTTTTTTTTTGCATAATTGTAAGTTGAACACCATATATCCACATATGCTTTGGGGCCCCTTACTATCTAGGGTGGCCCTTTGGCAGAGAAGTAACATACCAAACAAAATGTGTGAAAATAATATTACATATTACACCACAGATTTAGGGGATTTTTTAGAGAGGGGATAAAAAGTGTTTTTTCAATTAAACTGAACCGAAAAAGAGACCAAACGAGTGAGGGGGAACATCTATGAGTAATAGCGTCAGAACTGATGACTCAAAGCTGCCTCAACTTCGTTTTAAAGTTGGGTTTACACCTCATCTAACACATTCAGATCGAATCACGCACCTTCCACTGCTCATCCCGCCTAGAACTTAGATATCTGTCGTCTGATTGGCTTACAATGAAGCTGAGGCAACAGAGCGAGAACGTGATTGGTTCTCCGGACTGCCAATCATTCCACCGCTGTCTGCGCCGGTCCGACGCGGAACAGGGGACAGAGAGGCCATACTATCGGCAGAAGGCGCTCTCAGGATTGCTGCCCTTCATCAAATCTTGGTACACCTTGTACAATAAGCGCGTGGTGACTTTTAACCACTCCGACTTGGATAAATATTAACCAGTTGAAAAAATGGCGCAGCAAGACAGCAAGAAGATATTTTTTGAGAACCTGTCGGGAGCAGGGAAAGCCATCGCTGTGCTCACGAGCGGAGGAGATGCTCAAGGTAACTTGTCGCATTCACGGACACAGTTTTTATAGTTTTTTTGCGCTTTAGTGCAGACATCCCCGTAGAGGGCGAATATACACCCCCTCTAGCCGGTGATGCTGCGTTTTTAGTCGTGTGGAAAGCTACGTGTAGGCAGCAGTGCTTTGCGCAGTGGGCCCTTTAGGGGCTCAGAAATTAAAACATGATGTTGAATCATCCAGGAAGGGGAAACAGTTAGCTGAGACGCTAACATGGCGTGATAACTGAAAATATCCGCATCCTCAAACTCTCCTAGAGAGATGTCAAGGTCGAGCTGTGTGCTGCCTTTTCCTCCTCACGTGATGCAGCAGCGACAGGTCCAGGAAGACGTTCATCTTTTGATGCTTTAACTTTGAAAGGGAACAGCGGCCGCCTGGTCGGCTGCCACTAGCTCCCAGAAAAGGCTGAGGTTAGATTGAGGAAGATGAGGGCTGTGGTTTTTGGTGGCACAGAGTGGGCCAGCAGCTGGATGCCTGCATCCTGTGTACGTGATGAGCGGCACCCTGTCTGATCTACGTCACAGAGGAAACTCTTGGTCACGTGACACACAGCCTCATCTCTTATTGATTGAAATGAAAATGCGCCCAACCACGAAGGAGTCCCTATTTGAATTTACAACCATTTATCCTCCTGCTAAGCCTTATTGTTCACGATTAAAGGTGTAAAATAACAGATGAACTGTTTCTATTATTGATTCTCATCTGTTTTTACTTTGTTTTTTGCATCACATTAATACGGGGATTAGGGCCAGTGAAAAAAAAAGTTAACTGATTTTTACATTTTATTTCAGTTTAATATGGGAAAAAAAAGTCAGATTTCTGCCTTTAATCTCAGAATTCTGACTTTTTTCTCAGAATTCTGACTTTTTTCTCATGTCAAACTGAAATAAAATAAAAAAAATTAGTCAACTTTTTAAAATTTTTTCAGTTGCCCTAATCCTCTTCCGTACATTAAAACATTCATTTCTACTAAATAATTTAATCGAAATATAATTTAATAATAGAAAAAGTGCCATGAAATTCTAAGAGGGATGTGTTTACCAATGTCTGACCTACAAGTTAGTGTTTCATTTCTCTAAGGAGTTGAAACCCGATGCATTTCCATGGTGTTTAATGGAGGCATCAGTTTGAATCCCATAGAAAATTAGAGAACTACAAAATTATCTTTTGTTTGCATCAAGATATGTGTCCTTACCCTGATTTTAATCAACTCCATGGTCGCATTATTGATTGTAAAGGATTTGAGTTGTTCATTATGAAAAGAAAAGTAGATTTTTTTTATAGACGTTTGATCCCCTATAAGAGTAAATCTAGGGAGGACAAGTATATTTCCATCTTTTTCCTTTATGTTATTTGCTCTTTCCTTAAGCATTTAATTAAAACAACAATAAAAAAACACCGTGAGGAGACCACAAAGAAAAGTATAGTTGCATATGCATGACAGGAGTGGGAAGGCATTGTTCAGCTGGCTTTGGTCTTTTTACCCACTGTGCCTGAGAAAGCTTCAGTCATGCAGAAGGGGAGGATGGCTGCTTGGATAGGGAATCGAAAACCACCAGAGTGGGAGACGTTTCTCAATAGGTTTTTGTGCACTCTTACGTAAGCCGCTGCTTAATTCCAACGTTTGTAAATGGTCAGCTATTTGACTTGACTGTAAATTAGTTATGTCTTAAAAACCTTCAGAAAAAAAGCTTTAAACTATTCAGAAACTCATATACAGGATTTATCAAACAGATGCTAGTTAAAAACATTGGCAGACCCCTATAGATGCTCAGCTTGTTTTGGCGTCTCTTCTCCCCTGCTGTCCAACACCCTGAACTTTTATGTTGCTAGGCAACAGTGATCCAGCAGCCCACCTGTTTCTGACAAATGCATTTATTTATTTCTGCTCCAGCCACTTTCTTTTGGTCTGTCATGCTGTAAGTAAAGCAGTTTCGGTTGTTGTCATAGCATACCCTTACATTTAGTCGCACGTTGGAGTTTCTTCGTTAATGAGGGCACTCTGGAGCGGAGAGAGAGAGAGTGCAGGACGAGTTGGAAAACTTTGTTCCCATAAAAGGCTTTGACGCTGTAATAAGAAACACAGGCTCAAACAACTATAAACATCAATAGTTTGAGCTGAAGCGCTAACATGTGCTCTGTCCCCTTTTACTGCATTGCTTTACGGGAAAGCTGCTTCGTTCATCATTATTATTATTATTATGGTTCTTTAAATTCTTTCTCCCCTGCAGGAATGAATGCTGCAGTACGAGCTGTGGTCCGAATGGGGCTGTACGTGGGGGCTAAAGTTTATTTTATTAAAGAGGTGAGTCATCATAATAAAAAAAAGTCTCTAGACACTCTCACATCTGTTTGTAAATTATTTGTCAATGTTTTCAATCAAATATCAGGCTAAACTATAACTTTGGGGAATGTTGAATTCAAACAGTCACATGTCATCGGCATGTTTTCCTCAGCGTTCACACACATATCTCATACAGCAGATCTAAGCCGAGCTTTGGGAACTCACGTTCTGCAGCTCATACTGTGATCCCTGTCCATCTGTGTGCTGGACGCTCCGCATGGGCTCACTCTGTGTGCCGTTACATAAGAGACTTAAGGCTTTAGCTGTTGTCCCTTCCACCGCATCCCTCCTGGTCACACTACCAGGAAGGACAAAGTTTGAACATGAAACAGCAGTACTAATTCAGTGAATTCTCCTGCACACCTCTGATGAAATTCTAGGTTTTTATGTAGCAAAGGTATGACACCATAGTAACTGGTTTAAAAACTTTTTTTTCATCTTTAATTGTATTACAGATCTTCACTTTTGACAGAAAAAAGAAGCCCACCTGTTAAAGGAAAATGAAAAAAATGAGCTTTTAGTGGCCATCTGATTTGTGGTCCTCTACTCTGGGGTGATACATCACCTAAATAATACACAATTATTTAATTTGCTTATATAATTGGAAATAAACAACCTTTGATCTTCAACTTTTTGGGAGACACTAAGGGTACGTTCACACCGCAGCCTGAAGTGACCCAAATCCGATTTGTTTTGCCCATATGTGACCTGAATCCGATCTTTTCGTGGCTGTCTGAACAACACAGATCCGATTTTTTTCCAATGCGACCCAGGCCACTTGGTTATGTGGTCCTGAATCCAATACGAATCTGATCTTTTCAAATGCGACCTGCGGCCAGGTCGCATTCATCCGACCTGAACGCCATTAACACCCGACAGTGGTCACTCTTCTGCTTCTTGCTACGCAGAAGCGGCAAGAAAAACAAAAAACAATGGTGGACAATCGCTAGATGTTCTCCAGCACTACCTTCCATGTTTACTTCCGTAAACATAGAGCACGCTTCCTTATGACGTCATTGCGTCCTCTACTGCGCATGCGGGAAACTTTAGCTGTATGAATGCAGTTTACACAGAAGATCACATACAAGTCGCATATATTTGGAAATATGAACGGCAACGCAAAAAAAAAAAAAAAAAATCAGATTTCACAAAAAAAATCAGAATTGAGCATCAAGGCCTGCAGTGTGAACGTAGCCTAAAAGGCTTAGGTCAAACGGCCTGATTATTGCAATTGTTCCCATTTTCATCCACCTTCACATAAACAAGCTTGTGCCAAGCAGAAAGTCTCCTCCAAGGTTCTCTGGGATTAGATGTTTCTTAATGAAAAAATACTGGCCTAAAAAGAAATCCTCGCTTTTTAAAAATGTTTTTATTTGCATTACAAAATCTTTTCCGACTTTCCGTACTAACATCCAACTGATCACTGGAGCTCTGTTGTGCATATTTACATTATACACAGCAGTACGCTTAAAAATAACACTGGTTATACATCCTTAGAAAACTTAGATTCTCCACAATTCAACCACCAAGTTCATTTTATGGATGAGCGCCCATTAAAAAAAAGATATAGCAGTATATTAAATCAGAATTTTTAAATTAAAGTTTCGACTTCCTATTGTTGAGGCCGTATTATAAATCCCTGGACGGGGACGCCTTTTACAGCTGCTTTTTGTATCTCTGCTTCTGTCTCCTTGAACCCCAGTCGGCCTCGGCAGATGGCCGCTCACACTGAGCCTGGTTCTGCTGGAGGTTTCTTCCTGTTAAAAGGGAGTTTTTCCTCTCCACTGTCGCTACAAGCATGCTTAGTGTGAGGGATTGTATTTGAGTCAATGAGTCAATGCAATCAACTGGTTTTCCTTAGATCAATTTGATTGTATGATCTGGTTAAACTGTAAAGTGCCTTGAGGTGACATGTGTTGTGAATTTGGCGCTATATAAATAAACTAAATTGAATCTTAGGTTGTTTATATTACATTTGTTCGTATGAGTCCAAAGTAATTCAGCATATTCATTATAGAAACATTCCATGATGAGAAAGGCACAAAAATTCAAATTTTTTACCTTCAGAAAAGTCCCATCTTTGTACCTAATGCTAACCGTCTTGCCAATCACCCTAGCTTCCACAAACCTTTCCGGTTGATGTTTGGTCCAAGGTCAAGTCTTCTTGACGGTACATATGGGCACCATGTTTTTAGCTATGCGCAAAGTGAGCTCTTCTGTAATGGTTTTTAACCGTGGTCCTTTCCTCTCATATGCGGTGCTTTGCGCTAAAGTTTGGGCTATGGTTGGCTGATTGTTGTTTATTTTTTGCTGAGAGGCTGGCGTTTTACATATTTCCACTGGATGCTTCTGTTTAAGATTCTGAAAAAGGTTGTCTGCTGCCCTTAACTGCGACTGCCTTTTGGGAAATGTTGCAGCGTGGGATCTTTAGCTACATGTTTGTTGCAGCAAACGTAAACCAGTTCCAAAGAACAAATTATTTTATTCCTTTTTTCTCCCACTTCTTCCCACTCTCCTTGGTAGCCATGAA